ACCTTTTGTTTTTTAAAGATTAAGTTTTTAATAGCTAAAAATATTACAAATTAAAATTAAAAAAAACTTTTGCGAAATAAAATATCCGAAAGTTAATCCCGACAGTTCATTAAAAGCGCGATTTATTAAGCTGTAATTACTTATAAAAACTAATACAATTACTAATTACAATTTTTATTTATAGAATATTTTTATTTATAGAAATATTTTTATTTATAGAAAATACATATAATAGATTACAAAAAAGTAACAATTGTCAAATATAATTTAGAATTAAGAACATCTTTATTGGATTTTCAAAATTGTTAGGTAATAATTTTGCTTTTTTTTTTATCGATGCTGATGACGTCAAAAATTTGAGCGTTTCGCGAACTTACGATGCCCGAAAGGAAATGTGAGATGGGCTAGGACAAACACTCAAGAATTTGACTGAGTGACTCGTTTATTCCGTGACTGAGATGCAGAGAGAACTTAGGCGCAATCGAGACCAGTCGATTTTCATTCGAAGCGATTTCGTTAGAGAGGAGCATACAATATACCGATGAGAGTTGGTATTATGATAGTGCACGAGGTAAATAAACAGGTATAAACGAATATAAGAACGGTAGCAAACACATCTTCTGGCGGTCGCTTCGTAGAAAAAAAGTACGTTAAACTTTGGCTCGAGATAATTTTCATGAATAATTAATTAAACAATTTTTGTCTTAACAAAAATCTAATTTTATATTTTTGTGTATTTGGCTATCTCTTTTTGTATCACTTGTATAACTTCTTGTTTCACTTTTTGTATCATTTCTTGTCTTATGTATTCTCTTTCTTTTATCTTAGTTCTTCGCAGCATTAAAGTTTTTATAATTGTTCCCAGTTTCTTCGCTTTCCTTTTGTTCTTTACCCACTTTTTCCATTTCTTTATATCATCCAAACGTTCAAAATATTTGAGGAATTTTATAATAGAATACAGATCTAGTACTGTTTTTTGTATGGGCGTACCAGTGACAGCCCATCGTTTACTCGCCATGAGTTCATAAGTTGCTTCAGTTGTTCTATTTTTGTAATTTCTTATTGTATGTGCTTTATCTAATATTACTCTTTTCCAGTTAATCTGCAAAAAAATTTTAACTTACGATAAAACTAAAAATTCAGAGCACATTTGTCTATATATATATATATATATATATATCGATATATATATATATATATCAATAAAAAGTTTCTATCAGTTTAGTTAATAACATTTTCGAGTTTCCACATACCTTATACAATGTATTACTTGCATCACTTTGTTTTCTTTTGTGTTCTTGTAACAATATACCGTATGTTGTGATGACTACATTGTTTTTTGCCAAGTATTCAGGATTGCGTTCTCTTTTATAGCCGTGATATACCGCAATGGACAGCGAATTACTTACGCATTTACTTTCCACTTTGTTTTTCCAATGAGACAATGAAGACTTAGGACAGACTATCAAAGTCCCACCTCTGAAATCTGCAAAATGTAATCAAATATAATTGTTTCAATAGATTATTTTAGATATATATTTATATTGCAATTTAAATAATTCGGAAGTTTAGAAGAAAAAACAAATATTGAAAAATGAAGATTTATTTACTTAGGTCTTATAAAATTAACTAGATACGTAAAGGTTCACGCTTACTATTCGATTCAGCACTGTCTTCATCAGAATCAGCAAGAGTAGTTATGATTAAAAATATCATACTTAATGTCTTGCCTGAACCTTTTCCATCGGCTGCAATTCAAAAAAATTGAAAAAAAATGTTTTCAATAATATCTATATGATTGATACAAATATTAAATTACTATTGTTAAACATTTACCTAGAATGCCACCGAATGGTTTTTTCTGTTCCCTTCGCAGAAGCCACTGTAAAGCGTGCCGTTGATTCGGCCACGGGCATACTTTCAACTTTTCCTGCGCTGAAACCACCGCTTCTTTATATTTTGATGGAATCGATTTATATAAATTTTGCTCTGCCTTGTACAGATTCTCTATGTCAGATGTAAGTTTCATCAGTATGCTCAAACATTCATTTCTGAAATCAGAGTATTCATCTTTCATGCACAATGGTTTTCTTTCTTCTAAATTTCTTGCTTTGTCCATTTCTTCTTCATCGGAACATTTAAACAATCCAGATTGCTGACGGTATTAGTAAAAAAATGATTGCTGACGAAGAATTAATATGATGTTAGAATAAGAAATGAGATAAAAATATGAAATAAAAAAAAAATAATTATACGAAAGTAGGAAACATTGCATCACTATACTAAATGAATACATACTGATCCATGTTACAGTATAACAGAGCTGCCCAATCAGTCCATCGTGATCTATCGATTGATCGCGACGTATTTTTGATAGATTTTTATACTTCGACTTTTACTTTGCTAACTTCTAATTATTTTCTATAAAATTCTATAAAATTTATACTTGTAAAATATTTATATTTGTTGAAATCACATCTTAATTTTTTATTTTTTCTTTCGGATACATGGGTAAATCGTAAGGTTGCTTTATTAAATAAAGCTTTATTAAATATGATAAAAAAATAAAAGTAGTTTGCATATATAAAAAGGTTGAGCAGCACTGTTCTAGAACCTTCCTTTTCTAAGATGGCGGCGACTAGATTTACGGTTTCGCGAATTTTCTCTAACAAATAACCATTCTACAATGCATTGCTAATGTCCCGTCGCCAGTCGTGAACGGGGCATTTGCGACGCATTGTAGAATGGCTCTAATTCTCCGGCGATTTCCGTTCACTCTGCTCAACACTTCTAATTTGTCACTCCGAATGGCCTTACTAGTTTTACTCTTCTTCGTTTTCCTTTCTTTTTGTAGCTCGCTTTCGTTAATTAGGACAGAAGATCGCGGAGGAGGATACATCCAATACGTTAGTTTTTATACGTGGAAATCATTTTCGTATAACTATATCACCGGAATTAGATTTCGACAAAACAATGGCAATTTTATTACCGTAATACTTACTTTTTTTCTGTCATATTCTCCACGTTATCCTCGCTGTCATTGTTACTTTTGATAGAATTTTCAACGACACTCTCCCCATTATCATCAGAAATAACAAGCTTTTTCATTCGTTTTCCCAAATTACGCTCAATACTTTCGCCCATTGTTGACTATTTTCAAAATATATAAAAATTTATGTAAGCGTTATTAAAGTTTAACAATTTATTATATAAAATAACTAAAAAAAGATATCAAATAATAGTGTAACTGTTTTCGCTCACGGTAGATGTTCCTCACTGTTCTCGCTGAGACTGCACTGGCTGAACTGAAAGCTCAATGCAGTGCTTTGTTGTGCAGACCTTGGCTGCGTTCGGGGAGCGCGCTATCAGCGCTAAAGCGTCATTCTATTTTTATCGTTTATTAAACATAAAACAAGGATAGAATGACACAATAGCGCTGATAGCGCGCTCCCCGAACGCAGCCTTTGACATGACGCACCAATGCAAGATAAAAAATATACAGAATGTATCAAAATGACGGAACAATGTGTACGGATAGAGCATGGTAAACTGAACAGAAAAGTTTTTTATCTAAAGTACTTTTTGCAATTATCGCAATAATATATTATATATATATATATATATATATATATATATATATATATAGTATATATATATATATATATATA